CCTTTTTTTCGGAAGACGTTGAGTCTCCCTGTCATTTGTTCCGTTCTCAAGTCCTAAACTTATGAAGTCTCATTTCTGTAGTATACCATATCCTTAAGCAAAATAAGGTGTATAAACAAAAGTTATATTTATACACCTTATTTTGCTTTTTCGAACTGACCAACTAGACTAGTTACGACATCACATTGATAGCTTCTACTCTTGTCCTAGCTTGTCTGAGAGCTAAATTTACCTCAATTGTTTGTCTTATGGAACATGAGAAGTAGATGTTCATCTGCTTCTGGAATTTGAATTGAAATTGAGATACAGATGTAAGTTCTTCCTTTCTGAACCAGATAAATTCATATATGAAAGAAGTTGATCATAAATTCTTTCAAAATTGACTATTTGTCCCTCTATTAGAAGTGTCCCATAAATTTATGTGATCGAGTAAATAGCTCTACAAAAGAATGGATTGGATCGAATTGGTGCTATATTGGATTTGAATCAAATTTCAGATCAATCTATATTGATTGACTACCTCCATTATGTTGTTGCTAGCAGCAATACCACTATGTTTTAATCACTAACGAAATACCGCATCTAGAAGCCCATTTACTCTGCATTTAGACAAAAATGGAATTGTGAGGCTGGGAATCATTGATATTAGACTCAGAACTATTCTAAAAAGGTCGAGGCATTTCAAATTGTTTGTTGACACGGACAAAGTCAAGGAAAATCCCTGAAATTATTTCAATATTAGACCTTGTGTGGAGCCAAAAATAATCCCAAAAACTGTGGAGGTGACACATGGATTTTTGGACAAGAAGAATGAGATTACCCTCGAGGCATACCAGAATTCCCACACGCATACAACGGACAATAACGGCTCAATTAAGGAAGAGTCAAAGGTGATCAATATGGTATTTATTTAAATCCCTCTCATCACTCCCTATCAATCCCTTATTAATTTTATTCAAAAGGTAACTCCCAAAACTTCGTATTCAATTTAGGAATAATTGTCATGTTAATTGCAAGATATTATTTCACATAATATCTTGCAATTATTCACCCAATTACACCATATAGGGTCGGCCATTCTCCACCAATAGGGTCGGCCACTGTTCTATAAATACCCATCTTATCCCACTAAAATGCAAAACCATTTGCTCCCCACAAACTCCTAAACACATTCTTTTCATAATTCTAACTTTGGAATCGGAGATTCTTCTGCCAAAGCCCCTTCATTCATCGTGGGTGCGTGAGGCTTTTGGCCTTAATCTTAGGTGTTATTATTTTGCAGGTGCATTTTCTTCAAAGGAAATTAGGCCGAAATTTGCATCCATAAATTGGTCGGCGCGGTTAGGAGCTGCAAGGCAAGATCGGCACGGCTGGGAGCCATAGTGACAAATGAAGGGCGGCCAAGAGTCGTGGAGCAGGTAGGCACGGCTGTAAGCGTATCATTTCAAAGCATCCAACGACGGAGTATAATACGAGGCTTTACTAGCAGCCTGTGCTAGCAAAGACTTAGCGATGAAAAAGCTTGCAATCCATTCAGATTCTCAGCTGACCACCAACCAAGCTTTAGAATAACACACAATGAAACATGTGAGGATGGCGTAATACTTGGAGAATCTCCGAGAGCAGCTCACTGCACTTCCCACTTACACCCTTACGTGGACTCCACAAGAAGTTCAAAGTCTCAAGCAGATCACCAAACAAGACCTCACAGGTTGAGGATTATCTCAGTTGTCTAGCAGTCCAGCTTTCCTCAGTTGCGCTCACGACAATGACTTCCAAGCTCTCTGGTGCAAGAGAGTAAACCAATCCCCCGACACCCATTTGGGTAAGCTCTCCAATACGAGGGGGTAAACTAATTGCTTTCTAGTGCGAGAGGGTACACTAATTCCCCAACACCTATCTGGGTAAGCTGTCCAGTACGAGAGGGTAAACTAATTCCCCAAAACCTATTTGGGTAAGCTCTTCAGTGCAAGAGGGTAAACTAATTGCTCTCCAGTGCGAGAGGGTAAACTAATTCCCTAACACCCATCTGGGTAAGCTATCCAGTGCTCTCCAGTGCAAGAGGGTAAACTAATTGCTCTCCAGTGCGATAAGGTAAACTAATTCCTGACACCCATCTGGGTAAGCTCTCCAGTGTGAGAGAGTAAACCAATTTCTCGACACTTATCTGGGTAAGCTCTCCAGTGCATGAGGGTAAACCAATTCCCCGACACCCATCTGGGTAAGCTCGCCAATGTGAGATGATAAACTAAACTATACAAGCTTCTTCCAAGGCATACGGCTTTCTGGATGTAGATGATGATATCTATACATAGGGATCTTATATATATATATCATTTTATGATTAGCTTTAAGGTACATTTCCAACACCATTCCTATAGTCAATCTATGATAGTAATTTTGTTCCACTTAACACGTTTAGGAGAGCAGAATTTTGACATGCCAGAGCCATGTTGGCCAAACCCCCTAGTAAATTTTGGTTTATTCAATGAACAATTTCCTATGTTTTTTAACTCTTGTTTCAGTTCTAGATGACATTATGGATATTGTCTTCAAATATGAGTTAATTGAATGACATTATGGATATTGTCCTCAAATACGAGTTAATTGAATTATGTTTCTTGTATACATATGACCGAATTCAATTAAACACATGATTAGGTATAAATGTGGGAAAGTTAGTTGTCTAGATGAATGTGTAACTATGTACACTGACTTTATACCTAAATCATCCATCTAGCAACGACTTCAGGTCTATCTAACCTAATTAAGGGCCTTGGCACCACTCCTTATTGTAAATGATACTAAGTTTTCATTAAAGAGGCCTTATATTCTACACGTTCTAGAAGAATGTCATTAAGTTTTAAAGAAATTTGAGAGAACAATGATCATGAATGAAACCACTGAACAAAATGTTGAATATTGCACCACTTCCAAAATATGAAGCCCGAAGCTATGTATTAGAGCCAATGAGCTGCATAATTGAGAAGCGTCACATGTGGCCAACCTGAAACCGGGTGATTCGAGCTGGTTACTTGCTTTAGCACGATAATTTGGGGCACTTAGGTCAAGATATGATGCCTCATACTATACGAAGCATCTCCTTACCTGAAGTAAGGATCTTGTTGCCAACAACACACTTTTCCAAGCCAGCTCATTGGGAAAATTGGATTTATATACTATCCCTAGCAAAGATACTACATGACCCTCTTTTCACAGTTAATTCAAATGACTAGTTGTGAACTATCCAACCAAAATAGGACCAAGTAAATACTTATGGTTTTGGTTGATGTATCACAAACTAGTAAGAAGTTTGTCCGCATATTGTTTCTAACCTCCTGGCTTATTTTTACCTTAAAGACTCATCACCATGTTTATCCCATAGAGTCTGGAAGACTGGACAATACCGAAGTGTTTATATTGAAGATGTTTCATGACGTATTGCATGTTTTTTGGATTTGCAATTGAACAATGAATTCTCCATGTTCACCCCAAAACAACTTCGTGGAGCAATCATAAAGCACAATTACATTGATAGTTCGGATCTTGGTAAACGTACCAAGCAATTTTGATTCCAAGACAACCTTGCTAACCTCTTCATGAAGTCACTACTGAAGTCAACCTTCCAAAAGCTTATTTGAGGAATTGGTATGCGTAATTATCTCATTTGGAAGTTTTATCAAACTTAGGGGGAGTAAGATGTATACTCACTTAAACTAAATGGACTTTTTTTCCTTACAATTAAGAGCATTTTCTCACTGTGTTGTTGCTACTTGATGAGGGTTCAACGTGGCACCCATCCTGGGCTGGTCATATCCTTGTGTGTGTCTACTTGCGTCCTGAAGGTGTTTAGTTTTGACTTGCAACTTCTCATTTTTCTCCTTAGGCTATGGGTTTTATTCCACTTTGGGTTTTACCATAGCGAATTGATTTTGTAAGTTTTATTACCTATGCATTCTTCCATACGTTTTGAGACTCACATTTGTGCCAACTAGACAAAATGACTTCATCAACGATTTCTACATCATCATATGAAGATGTGATGCATTTACATGAGTTTTTACACACTCAAGGCGGAGTGTTGAAGTCCTAAATTAGTTATGAATGTGATTATGCAAATTCTAGTAGATTATGTGTAGGATTCTACAATATCTTTTAAATTATAATTGTATTTGTTGGGGAGTAAGTTTATCTCCTTTATTAATATAATAAAGGCACAAGGCATGAGGAATACCATCGTAGAATTCCTCAAGCTGTTGTCCATTTCTCTCTCTCCCTCTCTTTGCCGCACTCTTTCAGTAAAATAGGCCACAACGACTTCATCCTATTTTAAAAAGGATAAAATAATTTGAACCATTTATTATCTTTACATCATCTAAAGATCATATGTGCAAAAAATCATTCAATTTGGATATCTTTTAGTCATTCATATGCATTAAACAAATAGATAGTTCATCATGAAGATGTTACTTGTTATTAAAACCGTTGATTTGTTTGACGGAAGAGGATCCTCTCCTGATCCACTTTGTGGGGATAGGGATCCCCACATCCTAACCGTTCATCGTGCATCATACGGCCAGTTTTCGTCAGATACTATTTGTGTTTAATTTTAAATAAAAAAAAGTCAAATGATTTCTGACCGCATGATACACGATGAATGACTAAGATGTGGATCCCCACAAAATGGATTTGGATGGGATCCAATTCCTTATTTAACACGTATGAATGACTAAACGATATTTAAATTGAATAATTTTGTGCAAGTGTGATTAAAAAGAATGAACGGTTCATACGTTAAATACACGTTAATCATAAGTGGGGACAAGTAAATTTCTCGATCGGAGGAACACGGGCATTACAACTTCAAGCCTCAAAGGGTAAAATGCGGGTTACCCGAAAATAACTACACAGCACCTTTTAGGCGGTAACTACTAATTGTACGGTAGCTTTGATTGAAGAGTAAAGCGGGAAGCGTCAGTCCGTGTCTATTTTTTAGTAGCATGGCAACCAGCGGCAGCCCTCCCTGTATGCTTGTCGCCCAAACCCTTCCAAAGTTCGAGAAATGCAGAGCAATGTCTGAACTCCGGCAACTCCACGCCCACATTATCAAAACAAACCTCGTTACCCACACATTGATCATAAACAAACTCGTATCCTCCTGTTCTCTCTCTGGCGGCCTGGAGCACGCCCTTTCGGTCTTTCGTCGAATTGAAAACCCCAATCCCTTCATGTTTTTCACACTCATAAGGCACATTTCTGAGAGTGCGAATCCGTTGGAAGCTGTAGTTCTCTATGCGCATATGCTCTCTTCTTTGAAAAGTTTGGATGGTGTCGAATTTTCGATCCCTGCTGTACTGAAAGTGTGCGGCAAGTCGTGGGCTTTGGAGGAGGGGACGCAAGTTCATGGCCAAGTGTTGAAAACCCAGTTGCTGTTTGATATGTATGTGGCGAACGCATTGATCAGGATGTACTCGGAGCTGGGAGAGATTGACTTGGCAAAGAGGGTGTTTGATAAAATGCCTCAGAGAGATGTAATTTCTTGGAATTCACTGATTACAGGTTGTTTGAGGCTGCGGGAGATTGATTTGGCTCATGAGCTTTTCAATAAGATGCCCGAAAGGGACTTGGTTTCGTGCAATGCGATGATCGATGGGTATGGGAAGAGCGGGAAGTGTGAGCTTGCAGAGCAGGTTTTTAGGTCTATGAATAAAAAAGATGTGGTTACTTGGACATCAATGGTTTCAGCATATGTATTCAATCACCGTCCGAAGGAAGCATTGGGTTTATTTAGGGAAATATTGAATGTCGGGATTCGACCTGATGCCCCTGCTCTTGTTAGTGTTCTATCAGCCATCGCCGACTTGGGTTTTGTTGACGAAGGCAAATGGGTGCATACTTACATTTCGACAAATAAGATTAAGCTGAGTTCTGGGTTTATTGCTTCGGCTCTTATAGACATGTATGCGAAATGTGGACATATAGAAAATGCCTATCATGTCTTCAAACAGGTATCTCATTATAAAAATGTCGGGGACTGGAACTGTATGATCTCCGGCCTTTCAATGCATGGGCTTGGTCATCAAGCTCTGGAGGTATTCCTTGACATGAAAACAAAAGAAATCAAGCCAGATGAGATCACTTTCTTAGGACTGTTGAATGCTTGTAGTCATGAAGGTCTAGTTGAAGAGGGCAAGTTTTGTTTTAAACTCATGCAGGAGAAGTACAAAATCATCCCTACAATTCAGCACTATGGATGCATTATTGATCTCTTAGGTAGAGGCGGGCAATTGGATGATGCTGTTGAGATTGTACAGAATATGCCCATGGAGGCTGATGTTATTGTTTGGAAAGCTATTCTCAGTGCTTGTGTGCAGAACGGTGATTTTGCAATTGGGGAAAGTGCTGCCTTGAAGGCCATAGAGTTAGCTCCCGAAGACTCAAGTTGTTACATTCTCCTCTCAAATATTTACGCCAAAGTTGGGAGATGGGATGATGTGCGCAAGGTCAGATTAATGATGAAACGAAGAGGAGTGAGAAAGATTCCTGGATCCAGTTCAATCCTTGTGAACGGGAAGGTTCATGAATTTCTTGTGGGAAAGGAAATGGATGTTAAATGTAATGTCGAGGTTCTTTCAAAGATAGAAGAGGTGGTCTCTAGGTTGAAACTGGAAGGATATAAGCCTGACCTGACTCAAGTTCTTCTGGATATTGAAGAGGAAAATAAAGAGAGCTCACTTACCCTTCACAGCGAGAAGATGGCACTTGCATTTGGACTAATAAACACTAGCAACGGAGCTCCTATTCATATAGTGAAAAACTTAAGGGTTTGCTGTGATTGCCATTCGTTTATCAAACTGGTTTCTCGCGTTTACAATTGCCGAGTTGTTGTGAGAGACCAAAACCGTTTCCATTGTTTTGAGAATGGTTCCTGCTCCTGCAATGACTTTTGGTAGTACAATTTTAGTAAGCCCATTTGCAAACTACATGACTGAAGATTCGTATGGTATAGCAACTACTTCACGGGGCAGACACATGCAGGATGCAACGTGATCAAACGGACATGTAATTTTCCTAACATGGTACATTGCCGCAGAGTCGCGGGTTCAGTTCCATTGCCATTGATCCATACATTGAGAATGCCATGCATGGTTGAGAGGACAGCGACTACCGATTTGGACAGATGTGGCAGATAGAGAGGAAGGGGGAGAGCTTCCTCTTATTTATACAGATCCATATCTATGAGGTTTGGGTCCCACAACTAACTAAAACTGCACTACATGATTTCTTGTATTGTAGTTTTAGTTAGCTTATGGGCAACAGTGTTTATGTATTGAAAATATTGTTCCATTGAACCTTTTCATATGTGATAAAAATAAAAGGCACCGAGCAGGCTTCAATACTATACGATTGGTGTCAAGGAAATGATTTCCGTACTCTTTTTTTTTTTTTTTTTTTTACCTCCCACACTTCTCTTTTATCTTCTAGCTGGTGGATTAAAAAAACAAAGTTGTGTAGGAGAAAACAGAAATCATTTTCCTCAATTTTATTTGAATGTCTAGATTTTTCTTAGTTGGAATATTTGTCTGCTTTTGTTTTTGACACAATTGTCACCAGCTCTACGACTTATTCACCTGTCAGACTTAATTGTATTCACCTGTCAATATCCCAATGAAAATCAAGAGATGATGAAGGGGAAAGCATTAAAATGGCAAGTCTTTCACGTCTCACCCTGATTTCCTCTGAAAGTAAATAAAACATAATTGAATGGCATTATTGCATGTCATTTTGTGGTTTCCTCTAAAAGTCAATAAAACATAATTGCGTGGCATTATTGCATGCCATTTTGCGGTTCAATTTTTCTTAGTGGGTCTTCTTCGTGACAGTGACATGTGTTGTCTGTACTTACTGGCTGCATTTTAGAGGGAAGAAATAGGTGGAATGAGCAATATTCCAGCAATAAGTCCTCACTCCAGAAACACAGCAATTTTCCCAATATCTTTCTTTTCATTTTTTTGATGTGGGGTTTTGATTTCTTCGAGGATTTTGGGATTTACTTGTTTGTTTCTTTTTTTCTTTCTTTAAAATTCACTTGCTGGGTGGGTTGAGCAAGAAGGTATCAGCTGCTTCAGAAAAGGCTGGAACAGAGCAAGACCAAACCGACTTCTTTTCTATTTTTCAGGTCAGTTTTCTATTTTCTTTCTTTTTTATTATTATTTTTAATTTTTGCTGGTTAGATGGGGTTCTGAGGGGAAAGAGGGTGGGGGAATCCTCGAACCTGAATGAGAAGGGCCACAAGGGTATTTCCACTAGCCCTCCTCTTTTATTTTTGCTAGTTGGGTTGTCATAGTTTGCTAAAATTCTTATTTACCTGCATTTGATTGTTCCAAAAGATATGAACACTTTTGTATTTCAAATAGTTGTTAATCTTTGTGAAGTGAATTTGGGATTGGATTTTTGCATGTTTTTTGAAACGAAATTGATATACTTTCTTGTTCCTTCAGTAGAATTTTATCTGATGCAGTTTATTACCAACATTTCTGCTGCTTCTATTTAGGTTTTGTAAAAGTATATAACTAATAAACTGAGCTGCATTCCATATTTTTTTGGTGTTTAAATTTTAAAAACAAATTACCAAGGTACAATCTATAATTCTTGCAACGTTTTATCATGTCGTACGACACAGCAAAAGCACATATTATGTATATATTTGTTCAATGATTGTGCTACTAACATGGTAGACCCTGTGGTAATATTTTCTCCCAGAAATGATTGGCCCAGTAGCAATAGCTTTGACTGTGGGTCTTCTTGGATGGGCTTATCAGGCACTAAAGCCTCCCCATCCCAAAATATGTGGATCGCCGGACGGTCCTCCTGTCACTTCTCCTAGAGTAAAACTCAGTGATGGGAGGCATTTGGCTTACAGGGAATTGGGAGTTCCAAAAGAAGAGGCGAAACACAAGATCATCGTCATTCATGGCTTTTTAAGTTCCAAAGATATGAGTTTGCCCGTCACTCAAGTATGAACTAACACTTATTTTCAGTCCTGCACTAGTTGTTATAACTTTTACCAATCTGAGATGGATATGCTGCAACATTGAGTTGATATGATGGGTAGATAGGAGCACTCATTTATGTTCCATGGAATATTAGGAAAAGGAAATGATCTCACTGTAATTGGTTACTGTATTGCGAGGAATATAAGTAATTATTGAAACATGCCGATGTTATGTCATATGTTGGGGTATGCAGAGATTTGAATAAAATGAATAACTGGTGATCATCTGCACTAGACATGAATGCTAATGTTGAACTCCTCTCTGGTCTTCTCTACCTCAATTTGGATTTGGAAGATGTGATGGATTTAAATATTTGCATTTATAGTGCATCATTAGTGCACCTCTCTCTCATTCCTTCTTTGATACAAGTGGAATGCCTTCTGTTCGGTTTTGTTTGTCAGGAACTCATAGAGGAGTTAAGGATATATTTCCTGTTCTTTGACAGAGCTGGCTATGGAGAGAGTGATCCATATCCTTCACGTTCTGTGAAGAGCGAAGCTTTTGATATTCAAGAGCTAGCTGACAAGTTGCTGATTGGGTCTAAATTTTATGTAATCGGAATCTCAATGGGAGCTTACCCTGTTTGGAGTTGCTTGAAATACATACCACACAGGCATGATACCTAGTTTAACTACCAGACTACGAGTTTTGCCTATGTTTTATTTTCAACAAAATTTAATGTCAGTCTCTCTTTTATGTTAGGAAAGCTTGTATCTAATATCACTGATACTGTGATACATTATTTGCAGATTGTCTGGAGCTTCCCTGGTAGTTCCCTTTGTGAACTACTGGTGGCCTCGTTTTCCTGCTGATCTATCAAGAGAGTCCCTTGGTACGCTGCAGCTATCAGACCAATGGACATTCCGAGTTGCACATTACACTCCTTGGTTATTCCATTGGTGGATGACCCAGAAATGGTTCCCTTCACTAAGTATCTTGGCTGGGAATAACGCAATTTTCTGCCCGAAAGATGTAGAGATGTTGCAGAAACTCTCAGAAACACCAAGTCTTGGTCAGGTACTCAAATTTTCTCATTGTCTGCCCACAGTACTAGATCGACCAATTTTCTTTTTCCCTCTTGCAATTACAATTCGAGGTTCAAATCTTTCAATGCTAAATTTTGTTGGTTTAGGATTGTTTAAGCTCTTTTATATTCAAACACATCATTTCTCTGATTTGAATTCATAGCTTAGGGGTTACGTTATCAGGGCAATTACTGAAAACAAAATTTTACCTTAAACTTGAAAGTGGAAGGATGGCGTGCATTCAGTATTTGGTTTTAGTAGTGTCGAACGCTAGCCAAAATTATTAATCTTCTGCTACAGCAATTATCTAGGCTGACTTAATTTTGCAAACACTTTTTGTAGTCAATTTTATCGTCTTATTGAAACTATAATTCAGAGGAGAAGACACTTAATATCCACACTTACCTATAACCAGCATATGTGATGCAATCTCAAATCTTTTAGTGTCATTGATGTCTTGAGATTATTCCTTTGCTAGCGAAACAAGAGAGTTGAGAGACATGGGATGTTCTTAATTGCTTGGTAACCGTCAGTGTCTTTTGTTTACGTTACAAACTCAGGAAAAGATTACGCAGCAAGGAGAGCACGAATCACTGTTCCGAGACATACTGGCTGGTTATGGAAAATGGGAATTCGACCCCTTGGATCTCAGCAATCCCTTCCCTGACAACGAGGGATCAGTTCACATTTGGCAAGGCTATGAGGACAGGATCATTCCTTACAAACTAAACCGTCATATTGCAGAGAAGCTTCCCTGGATTCATTACCATGAAGTTCCTGATTTTGGGCATTTTCTGATGTTCGACAAGAACCAATGTGAAGCCGTTTTGAAGGCACTTTTGCTTGGATTATGAACTCCCTAAGTAGCAAGTCTTTCATGAATGCTGCAATGTGTATTACATATAAAGATCTTCTGTATTTTATTGCAATGTAAAACTTAATCATCAGCTTACTTCTCTGGCACAAATAATTCATAAGTTGTTCGGCATGATTGTACATATCTGCTGTATCGAAAGTCCTCTTCGGAGCGGAAATGTACCGTAATCTGATTCACGTCATTTCTTTGGCACTGTAACATTTTTGCTGCAGGCTTGTAAGTTGCTCTGTATGTATCCAGATCAAGTACCATGAAGTTGAAGATGGTCCCAAGAGACATTCTTTGGAGGATTTTAGAGAAGAAAGGAGTACGAGTAGCATATATCCAAGCTATAAAGGATATGTATGAAGGAGCAAAGACTGCCGTAAGAACTCATGAAGGACAAACCGAAAGCTTTCCCATAACTGTAGGATTACATCAAGGCTCATCCTTAAGTCCTTACCTTTTTGCGTTGGTAATGGATGAGTTAACAGGACATATTCAAGATGATATTCCTTGGTGTATGCTTTTCGCAGACGATATAGTGTTGATAGATGAAACTCAGGAAGGGGTAAATGCAAAGCTTAACCTTTGGAGAGAAGTGTTGGAATCTAAAGGTCTTCGCCTAAGCCGATCAAAGACAGAATATATGGAGTGCAAGTTCAGTGCAAATGGAGGCCAAAACGAGTTAGGGGTGAGGATCGGAGATCAAGAAATACCAAAGAGCGACCGTTTTCGTTACCTAGGATCTATCTTGCAAAAGAACGGAGAATTAGATGGAGATCTCAACCATAGAATACAAGCTGGATGGATGAAGTGGAAGAGTGCATCCGGCGTGTTGTGTGACCGTCGTATGCCACTGAAGCTCAAGGGAAAATTTTATAGGACGGCAATAAGGCCGGCGATGCTGTATGGCACAGAATGTTGGGCGGTGAAACATCAACACGTACACAAAATGGGTGTAGCGGAGATGAGGATGCTTCGTTGGATGTGTGGGCACACGAGAAAGGATAAGATTAGGAATGAGGATATCCGGGGTAAAGTAGGAGTAGCCAAAATTGAAGGAAAGATGAGAGAAAATCGGTTACGGTGGTTTGGACATGTGCAAAGAAGGCCTACTGACGCTCCGATTAGAAGATGCGACTATAGGACAGAGGTTCAGGGCCGAAGGGGTAGAGGAAGACCTAGGAAAACTTTGGAAGAGACTCTAAGAAAAGACTTAGAGTACTTGGATCTAACGAAGGACATGACACAGGATCGAGCACAATGGCGTTCTAAGATTCATATAGCCGATCCCACTCAGTGACTTGGATTTTCCAAGTCTCCAACTAAGAAGTTTTCCTCACTCGGGAAATTAAGGGAACACTACCCCAACCTACATGCTCCACTCAGAAAGCTTCAACATACAAGCTTCAACAAAAGAAAATTCAAAGAACTTAGCGAAGAAGGCTTTGGTGTATTTAACACAATACGTTGAAATGAAGGAAAGCTTATTTATTGATATCCCCGATAAGCTACAAATATGTACATATACATGAGTCAAAATAAACACACAAGAGGGAGCCTTCACAAAGGTTGCTTAGGAGAAGTCTCAGCAGTCGGTAGAGGCCCAGAAAGAGAAGGCACCGGAGGGGGATCATTTGGAGCCTCAGTACTGGACAGAACCCTAGAAGGAGGAGACATCAGAGGTTGATCATTTGGAGCTTCATTACGCGGTACAGCCCCAGAAGACGAAGGCAATAAATGCCTTTGGAACAAACCCACAAATCTCTGATGATCAAGTAAAACCTGACCATCAGTTTCCTTCATCTGGTCAAGCTTCCTCTTCATGTTTGTAGCATAGTCATGTGCGAGCCGGTGCAACTGTTTATTCTCATGCTTGAGCCCTCTAATCTCCTGTTTGAGACTCATCACTTCAGCCGCCAATGATTCAACTTGGCGGGTTCGAGCAAATAGGCGTTGGGCCATATTAGACACAGAACCTGCACACTGAACACTGAGAGCCAACGAATCCTTAACAGCTAACTCATCAGACCGTTTGGAAAGTAGTCTGTTATCTTTGGGAGTGAGAAGGTTCCTGGCCACCACCGCAGCGGTCATATCATTCTTCATCACGGAATCCCCAACGGTAAGAGGACCAGTAGGGGAGACGAAGGATGGGCGCCATATGTTGTCTGGAGAAGGCGGGGCTGCCTCTTCAACAAGGTTCAAGTCAAAACGACGGTCGGAGGGGCCAGACATTTTCAAAGGTGTTGAAGAGAGAAGAGGTCGGACAAATCAAGATCTTAGAAGTGCAAGAATGAAGCTTCTACTGGTGGAGATTCAAGTGTGCTTTGGAACTTAATGCCAGCCCCTATAAAAATCTGCACTCGACGGAGCTTCAGAAATCGAAGAGGCGCCTGCTCAGAAATCGAAGAGGCGTTTGCTTTCTCAAAAGCTGAGCTGCTTAGAGATCACGAGGGTTGATCTCAGAAATCGAAGAGGCGTTTGCTTTCTCAAAAGTTGGGCTGCTCAAAGACCACGAAGGCCGATCTCAGAAATCGAAGAGGCGCTCGCTTTCTCAAAAGCTGGGCTCCCCAGAGATCACGAGGGCCGATCTCAAAAATCGAAGAGGCACCTACTTTTCCAGCCTTGTCAGCACCTGTCACACGCACACTCAGCTTTGCGGAAATTATGGGCATTCTGTCGAAGACTTCTGGGGAAGTAGAAAACACATGAATCTTACTGTTCAATCACCCACTTCCCACACGCAACAATAGCTCATGGGTACCACAGATAACTTTGCCAAAGTTCTCTGCCAAAGTTGAGCACGTTAAGCTTGCAGCTCCCACTACATCGCTCTGACCAAGAAGGGTAAAAGAATAGCAAAGAAACAGCACTAACAAAGTTTAGACCCATAAATTTTGAAGGTCTAGTTACCATATTATTACCCACAAGGGTAAAGGAACAGTACCACTGCTGGATAATTGGAAAAGTCCCTGTGTGTCAACCTCTGTGCTTCGTGGCAAGGTAGACTAGCAAACATGCCCAACCTTTACTCACATTCGAGAAAACACTCCCAACAAGATTGCTTGCTCCAAAATCGAAGAGGCACCGCCTTCCGAATCTCGAGAGCCAGACTCCCAACATGATTACTTTCTCAAAAATCGAAGAGACACTGCTCCCCGAATCTTCGAGAGCCAGACCCCCAGCATGATTGCTTTCTCAAAAATCGATGAGGCATCGTTCTCCGAATCAATCGAAGAGGCGCTCGCTTTCTCAAAAGCTGGGCTGCTCAGAGACCACGAGGGCCGATCTCAGAAATCGAAGAGGCACCTACTTTTCTAGCCTTGTCAGCACCTGTCACACGCACACTCAGCTTTGCAGAAATTATGGGCATTCTGTCGAAGATTTCTGGTGAAGTAGAAAGCACATGAATCTTACTGTTCAATTACCCACTTCCCACACGCAACAATAGCTCATGGGTACCACAGATAACTTTGCCAAAGTTCTCTGCCAAAGTTGAGCACGTGAAGCTTGCAGCTCCCACTAAATCGCTCTGACCAAGAAAGGTAAAAGAATAGCAAAGAAACAGCACTAACAAAGTTTAGACACATAAATTTTGAAGGTCTAGCTACCATATTATTACCCACAAGGGTAAAGGAACAGTACCACTGCTGGATAATTGGAAAGTCTCTGTGTGTCAACCTCTCTGCTTCGTGGCAAGGTAGACTAGCAAACATGCCCAACCTTTACTCACATTCGAGAAAACACTCCCAACAAGATTGCTTGCTCCAAAATCGAAGAGGCACCGTCCTCCGAATCTCGAGAGCCAGACTCCCAACATGACTACTTTCTCAAAATCGAAGAGAGGGTAAAGGAACAGTACCATTGCTGGATAATTGGAAAGTCCCTGTGTGTCAACCTTTGTGCTTCGTGGCAAGGTAGACTAGCAAACATGCCCAACCTTTACTCACATTCGAGACAACACTCCCAACAAGATTGCTTGCTCCAAAATCGAAGAGGCACCGCCATCCGAATCTCGAGAGCCAGACTCCCAACATGATTACTTCCTCAAAAATCGAAGAGACACTGCTCTCCGAATCTCGAGAGCCAGACCCCCAGCATGATTGCTTTCTCAAAAATCGAAGAGGCATCGTTCTCCGAATCTCGAGAGCCAGATACCACAGACCACTTTTTCAAAGTGCTCTGACAGAGTTAAAACATGTGAAACTGACAGCTCCCACTACCGTGCTATGACCAAGCAAGGTAAAGGAATAGCATTACTACTTGTTGTTAGGGAGACTCCTATATATGTCGACCTCCATCCCCAACGGACAGGCAGACCTGCAAAAATGCTCAACCCTTCATCATATCTGAGAGGGCACTCCCAACGAAGCCTTTCGAAATATTCAGTTTTCTTTCCCCCCGATAATACCTCTGCAAACAAGCTATACTAGAGCAAGAATATCTCATATCATCAGGGTTAAAAGCAAGAGTATCCCATATCATGCTTTTTCCCTGTCTTTTCCTTTGGCCTTGTTTTTACCTGCAAGACAAGGAGAAAGAGAGCAATCAGTCAGCACTTGGAATCAAGCTTCCAGCCAGGAACTGACTGCCTGGAACCCCTTACCTGATTACTTACCTGGCATTGCTCTCGAGTACTCATCTTCAACATCTTATGTTTCCAGGGAAGATTCCGCATCTGCTTGAGGAACAGATAGGGCAAGTGCGAAGGATACAAGGAAGCATGTGGAGACAAGCGTAACAGCACACATGCCGATACATCCATTACTCTGTCAAAAGCAAAAGTATCCCATATCAGCAGGGTGGAACGTACTCTAGATTTGATGGACTTGTTTTGACCCTCAAATTCTTCAGTCGGCCTTATACTCTGGAGGAAACCAGAAAACCCTCCAGCTCAGTTCAAGAATAAGCCTGTGGAAAGTTACTTCTTCAAAAGCAAAAGTATCTCATATCATCTCTTCTCATTTTTCTTCTCTTTATCCTTCATGCTGTTGCAAGATGGGGAGAAGGTGAACAATCAGTCGGAGCTCTGATTGCTTACCTTGTCTGTCACCTCTTTCAGCAGACCCCCTAGCTCGGCGACTTGGGGGACTCCTACTACATGGTTTGTATCGCGCTTGACCAAGCCTGAAACTACAAGTAAGCTTCAAGTGAAATTGATACATTACCTTGTGCATCTCCACCAGTTAAAGATAC